TACTGTTACTTGACAGTTCGGAAAGTGATATTGCGAACCATACTCTCGGTTCCGCGGCTGGGTCATTGTGGGAAAACACGATGCTCGTCTGTTCTGGTTCAATGCCTCATTCGCAACTTGCCCAATCGATACGAGTCACTGTCTGCCAGGTATGAGGTTTCAAAATTGATACTCGTGGTTTGAATTCTAAATGTACCGAGCATCAATTTGGGCGTGGTTCATTTTGTTCTAACTTTAGAGAGATTTTCAAGTTTTAGTGTGACATTTTTATACAATATGGCGTAGTAAGCATTTGAATTCCTATATTTTCCGAGAGAAGTGCCCCGCCCTTTGGAAATTTTTGTAGAAGCGACGTGTCATAAGAGTTCAATTTTGCACGGTCTAGTGCGTTTTGGTGGGTTTTGAAATGATTGAAGTTTCGTTTTTTTTTCTACGGTCCGGTAGGATCTGTCAACTTATATTCATATGCTGTTACAGGATAGATAGGTGCGTGCTCATAGAGAGTACAACACACTCGCACAAAACCACCCTGTATGCTTGTTTCTAGTCAATGCGTAATTCTGAGATGGTATCTCGCTAGATTAGGTCCCTCACCCGCTCTTCCGCCCTAGACTGCCCTAGTCCCTAGCGCCCGCCTTAGTCCCTAGCGCCTGCCCTATCGTGCCCGCTCCCTAGCCCGCTGGCCCCTAGCTCGCCGCTGGCCCTTCGCGCGCCACGCGAGCCATAGCCCGCTGGCCCCTAGCTCGCCGCCGGCCCTTCACGCGCCGCGCGAGCCCTCGCCTGCTAGCCCCTAGCTCGCCGCCGGCCCCTTGCTCGTCGCTGGTCCCTTAGCTCGCCCACTGGCCCCTAGCTCGTCCGCTGGCCCCTAGCTCGCCACTGGCTCTTCGCGCACCGCGAGAGCCCTAGCCCACTGGCCCCTGGATCGCCGCTGGCCTTTCGCGTGACATGCAAGCCCTAGCGCGCTGGCTTCAACTCGCCGGTCCCAGCTTGCCGGCCCTCGCTCGCCAGCCCTCACTCGCCGGCCCTAGCTCGCCGGCCCTAGCTCGCCGGCCCTAGCACGCTTGCTGCCCCTACCGCGCTCGCCGGCCCTAGTTCGAACCGGCCCCAGTTTGAGCCAATCCCTGGCTTCTGCTGGCCCCAGCTAACGTCGGCCCCAGCTCCTACCAACCTTGCGCGCCACCACCCCGTCGCCAGACTCTGCTTGCCGAGCCGTGCCGCCCCAGCTCATCGTGCCGCGGTGCCATGGTGCCGTGCTGCGGTGACGCTGTGCAGCCGTGCTGCCATGTCACTGTGTTTCCGTGCCGCCATGCCGCCGTGTTGATGTCGTCGTGGTGATGGCGGACGCTGTGCTCCGCCTAGACGCGTAGGGTCGGGCGGTCGACTTCAAGGTGTGGCTCACCAACCTCAGCCGCCAGCGGAAGGGTCAGCGTCAGGATGGCCAGTCCCTGGCCGTCCACGTCGACGGTAAGCTCCCCTGCCCCGACCCGCCTACTGTCCTCCCTAACGCCCCCACGCCTGCTGAGCGTGAGGGCTTCGCCGTTGTTGAGCTCGCCCGCTCTGTCTGGGAGTCACGCGATGCAGTTGCGCAGCTTGCTCTCAGTCACCCCTTCACCCACCCCCCCCCCCCCCCCCCCCCTTGTCTGAGCATCCCCGCTTTCAGGCTGTAGAGACTGTACAGGAGTACCTAGATACCATCATTGCGCGCTATTCCACTCCCTCCTCCACCTCTGCTGGCAGTCTCCTACTTCCCCTGCTCTTCCCTGATCTTGCATCCTTCCCCACTATTGCTGATCTTGCCACTCACTTGCGCGCACTCGAGACTAGCTATCGCACTGCTAGCACTAAGGCCCAGCTCACTGTACTGCCTCCCCCCATCGGCGCTACCCTCTAAACCTTGCTACGCGCCTTCTCGACTGCCTCGCCACTGCCCGCGACCACTTCCTTAATCTCCACCCTGCTGACCTCACCCTTACTGTCTTTGTCGCCACCCTATCTGCGATAGAGACCCGCCAGCGCACTATCGCCCAATCTTGCATGCTCAGTTGCACATAGCTCCACCACCCTTCCCTGTCCGGCGGTTCCCTCGGGCTCCCTTACAAGCTTGCACATCTGTACTGAGGCCGCCACTGGTGCCCCCCTCACCACGTTCCCCCGGGACACGGTGTCTGGCCTGTTCAACCTGGACACCATGTCCCCCCTGGTGGGAGCGTCCTCTCAAGTGGCGATGCCTACTCAGGTCACTGCGGCTTGCTCCTGTCGGTCGCTTACTCACCCGTCGTTTCAGTGGCACCACCGTATCGGTCACCATGCACTACCGCGCCTGCATTACATGTTACAGCATGGTCTTGTCTTAGGTCTCCCTGCGTCGCTCCCTGCCCTCACTCCCTCGCCCGCTCCTTCGTGCATGCCTTGCATCGAGGGCTGGCTGCACCGTGCTCTTCACTCCTCCTTGTTTCCCCCCACCACTGCGCCACTCCATACCCTGCACCTGGACGTCTGGTTCCCAACCCCTGTCCCTGGGCCGTGTCACGAGCGCTACTTTCTGGTGCTCATTGACGATTGCACGCGCTACGTTACGGTGTTTCCCCTGGAGTGGAAGGCCAACGTGCCTGATGCTCTTATCCCGTGGCTTGTCCATGCGTGTCTCCATCGTGCCCTGTCAATGCTCCGTCTCCACTCTGACCGCGGCGGTGATTTTGCCTCCGGTCGGCTTGGCCAGTTTGGTCGTGCAGAGGGCATCACCCAGTCGTACACCCTGCCGAACTCCTCGCAGCAGAATGGGTCGCTGAGGGACGCATCGGTTTGGTCGTGGAGGTGGCTCGTACCTCCATGATCCATGCCGGTGCACCCCATTTTCTGTGGCCGTTCGCCGTTCGCTACACCAATCACCAGCTAAACCTGTTGCCCCACTCCCAACGGCCGCAGGTTTTGTCGACCCTTCTCTGGATCGGGTCCCCTGGTGACGCGTCTGCGTTCAACGTCTGGGGCTGCCTCGCACGTTCTTGCCTCTGACACGATCAAGCTCACTGCCCGCACCGTTCCTTGTGTTTTCCTTGGCATCCCCCTCGACGCGTCTGACTGGCACTTTTACCACCCGCCATCTCACCGCTTCTTTCACTCGTGTGACATCACCTTTGACGAGTCTGTATCGTTCTACACTTGCTTTCCCCATCGAGGTCTTGCAGTTACCCCACCGCTGCTCCTTGTCCCCACTCCCCTAGTAGCTCCTGCTCCCCTCCGTCCCCGTCCTACCGTGTCCGGTGTGTCTCACGTCACTCCTCTTCCCTCGGTTGCCCCGGCGAAAGAGCCGGCTGACTCTGGGGGCCCTGCGGCTCAGGTTCCGCCGCCTGTCTCCGCCCCGGTGTCTCCTCCGCTGTCGTTGCAGTCGCAGCAGCAGCATCTGCCGCCGCAACCGCCGTAGTAGTAGCCAACGTCGCCGCCGCCGCAGCCTAGGGGTCCGCGAGCCCTGGGGGTGCGGGCGCTGAGAAGGGTGCTGGTCCGGGGGGTGCTAGTCCTGGGGGTACTATCGTGGCTTATCCCGGCGGTCCTGCGGATGGCACCGGTGTTGCAGAGTGTTCTTTTTTTGGGGGTGCTTTTCTTGGGGGTGCTGTTGTGGAGGGTCCCGAGGGCGGTTGGAGGCTCTAAAGTCGGTGTGGAGCAGTAGCAGCTGTCGCCGCCGGTGTCGGCTCTTTGCCTCCTCGGTCTTCCCTCCCCCGACCGTTCGCTCGAGGCCCCCCCCGCGCCGCCTCCTCCGCCTGTCTACAGCACTTTGTTTCCTCTGCCGGACTCCTCCCTGGCTCGATTCTCCCCTCGTTCTCCTCCTGTGTCTCCTGACCTAGCGCCTCCCTCCCACTTCTGGTCTCGTCGTCCCACTCGTGCTCGTCTTGTCTCCCCTGTTCAGCATTCTCACCCTATATTGCTCCGTTCTCACGCATCTCGTGCTCCTCTTCTCCCTTTGCCTCCTCATTCTTCCCTTGTTGTCTCTCCGTCTACTCTGTCTGACTATATTTGTGCTGCTAGTCCCCTTGTTCCTCGGGTCCTTGCCTCTCTTATTCTCCAATCTTGACGCTCTTCTCGCTGTCGTCGTTGACTTTGCCTCCACCCGCCGCCTTGACTACGCCACCGCTCTGGTCTTTGACCCTGCCCGTCCTCCGTCCGTCAGGGGTGCATCTTCCCTTGGCAGTGACGTCCTAGAGGACAGGTAGTGCGAGCTAGCTTACCTTACAGGGCATACAGATGCTTCGTGGGCGGACGACGCTGAGACGCTCAGGTCCTCCCAGGGCTACCGCTTTAGCCTTTGTTCAGGCGCTATCTCGTGGAGGTCCACCCACTCGTCGTCTGTTGCACAGTCTAGTTGTGAGGCTGAGATCTACGCTGGTGCCATGGCGGCACATGAGCTCCGTTGGGTGACGGTCTTGCTCACAGACTTAGGTGAGTGGCCTAGCTCTGCCTTGGTCCTGTACGTTGACAACAGGGCCACGATCCCCCTGTGCTAGGAGCCTTGCTAGAGGGCATAGCGAAGCACATCTAGCTGCGGTACTTCCTCCTGCGCAAGCTACAGGGCGCCGCCAGGCCTGTGTAGTACACTTGGCCTCTGGTGCCAATACAACTGATATCTTTACTAAGGCGCTTGCGCCTAAAGATCATCAGCGACACTGTGTACAGCTTGGTCTGGGTCTATTAGCTCCTTACATGCTAGGACCCTGATTGTGTACTACCGTTTTTATTTTCTCTTGACTAGCCTTGTGGCTCTTGTTCCGGTGGCTGGACTAGTAATGCCGCCCTGGGTTACTCTTGTTAGTTTGTACTCTTCTGATTGGTCTTCAGACCCTTGCCTCAGAGGTTGGACTAGCAGTGCCACCCTGAGCTGTTTGTCTCTTGCTAGGCACTGCCCCTCGTCCAACCTTGGGGGTGTCAACATTCATATGTTGTTATAGGGTTTATAGGTGCGTGCTCATAGAGAGAACGACACACTAGCACAAAACCACCCTATATGCTCATTTCTAGTCAATGCGTTATTCTGAGAGGATCAGGAGGTACGGTAAGATTAACTCTTATGACACGCCCTCTGCATACGTGAAGGCTCAAACAACTCTCCAAGGTTGCAGGAATAAGAAGGCAAAATTAGAACCACTAAAAACGTTACTCCGAGAAACTGGAGAATTGTACACTGCCATTGAAGGAATTTTCCTAAGCGCGTGTCAGTAGCTGCTTGGCCAAACAATAGCAACAAGCTCATTCGCCAACTGCCTGTCATGCGGGTCACTGCTTTCAATCATTTCCTGCACACGCCCAAAAGATGGTCACATCAGAGTGGTCAGAGTAGTCAGTCCAACAAGCAGCTGAGACAAAGGAGTATGGAAATACCTTGACGAGCCTTTTGCCCTTGAAGTTATCCATGTAGTGGGTAATGCGGTAAAACAGGGCTTGTTTTGTCCGTCTCGCCCCAGCGCGGTCCACAGCTTTCAGGACTCGGAGTAGGGAGCGCTCCTCCACATTCATTGCAGATAGTTGCCGGTCCACGTTTTCTGCTAAGTCAGCTATGTCATACTTCTGTGCAGCTTCAAACAGGGCAAGGCCATGTTGCTGTTGATTGAAAGGACCATTGCAATAGAAAATAGGAAAAAATATGACGCAGGGCATTTTTGATTTACAAGAAAATTCATGTATTGAAAATATTTGAGAGATCTCGAATGCCGAAAGTGTGACACGATAGCGGACAGAAAGCAAGAAATCACAGGATGGCATAACTTGAGAGCATCTGCATTCAAACCGTAAGGGTGGCAGGATAGCAGACAGAAAACATTCTATCCCAGGTAATGACATACCTTGAGAGCTTTCGCCCCGAGAGTCACATCAGCGCCATACATGAACGTCAGTAGCAGCCTCATTGTATGAGCATCCACGTCTCCCAGCTTGAACACAGGAGTATCATCATGCTCCACTGACAAATTATCCAGCGTTGACTCCACCACTGGAGACCTGAAAAGGGAACCATGAGTGATAAGAAATAAAAAAATGCGGGCATAAAGGGAAACAACCTACACTCACACACCAGAATAGCAGGTGTAATGACAACGTTACCATAGTGTAACAATGTTGCGGTGCGCAGCGATCTTGGTCCCGTCACCAGCCTCAAATATCACGTCTGTGAACTTTTCTCCCTCAAGCAGATCCTTCAACTTTGCAGCCAGACGTGCGAGCTCAGCAAGCCTGAAAAAAAAGTGCACTTGATGCACGTGTTTCAGGTATCACAAAAAGAGGTCATCGTGTTCCGGCATGCTCTGCGTGAAGTCCATGCTTCTGTGCGATTGAGGTAAAGAACCAACCACTACCAAGGCAACAGACCCACCTCGGCGACTCTGCTGCAAACGTGTTCCCATATCGTCCACTGCACAGGTGAGCGTGAGTGCAGTCAGGGGAATGGGGATCAGGTGAGACTGGCAACAAGGGGTGTCCACAAGCTCATGTGACCATGAAGGCCTTGAGATGGCACCGCACAGCAGTGTGATTTTATAACAGCACAACATTGTGATACGTATTGCAACACAACAACGTAATCACTAGAACAACAAAATGTGGTCAGCGTGGGACAGACAGACGACAACCCTGATGAACTTCAGTAATGGACATCTGCAATGAGAAGACCCACCTTAACTGACCAGTAGGACCGTTCCTGAGGGCTCTTCCACTGCATAGAGACGGCACGGACATGGGAATGGGGGAAGGCCTGTAGGATGCAGCGTAACAGAAAAATCCAGGCGTAAATTTCTTATAGCAAGCTTTAAAAAGGAGCAGGAGAGATAACAAAAAACGAGCACGAGTAGTTGCCAAGAAACCATTCCATTCATACCTGCCAGCAATCTCAGATGCCAGCTGCCTGTCATGCGTGTCACTGCTTTCAGTCATTTCCTGGAAGCATGCAGAAAAGGGGCAGGGAAATGATAACGTTGTGAAACACATTACCAGACCTGTTAACAGCCAAAATTGTGCAGAAAACGAGAGAGAGAAAAAAGGCGCGCGTGGTAGCACCTTGATGAGGATTTGGCCCTTTATGGAACCCATAAAGTGAGTAATGTGGTTAATCAGGGCGTGTTTTGTCCGTGTTGCGCCCACACGGTCCACAGCTTTCAGCACTCGGAGCAGAGAGCGCTCCTCCACATCTACTGCACATAATTGCCGGTCCAGCTTGTCTGCAAGGTCAGCGACGTCAAACTTGTGTGCAGCTTCGAGCAGCGCAAGGCCATGTTGCTGTGGAGCAAAAGGAGCATTGCAATTCAGACGGAAACACATAGTATACAATCCAAAAAAGGGCATATAAACCTGTAGCATAACATCTTTAGTAAGGTTTTGCTTAAACATGCAAATTCCAAAGCATAAAACCAGAAACTGACTTTGCATCTGCCAGAACAGCCGAGAGGGGGCACCCGAATGTACAAGAGTTCACACGTAACTTGAGAGCATCTGCGTTGGGGGACACATCGAAGCCGTACATGAAAGCTAGGAGCATCTATGTGTGCTAGCTTGAAAATTGGGTTCTCATTCACCTCACTGGATACAGCCGAGACAGCCAGCCTACTGCGTGGATTTGCCAGGCCATTCTCTCAACTATACCTTGAGAGCATCGGCGTTGGGGGTCACATCAAAGCCGTACATGAACGCCAGGAGCAGCCTTAGCGTGTGACCATCCACGTCAGCCAGCTTGAACACCGGATTCTCGTCCTCCTCATCCGTCCAGTCCTCTAGCATCGACTCCAGCACCGGCGACCTGAATGAGAAAAGGGCATCCGCAAAACAGAGTGAAAAAATCAGACAAGGGAGGGAGCCTGGTGTGTTACCACGAAGGCATAGCGCGCACATACTACCAGAGTGCAACGATGCTGCGGTCACCACTAAGGCATGAAACACATCATTACCACAGTGCAATGATGTTGCAGTGTGCAGCAATCTTGGTCCCATCTCTGGCCTCAAAAACTACGTCTGTGAACTTCTCTCGCTCAAAGAGATCCTTCAGCTTTGCAGCGAGTCGTGCAAGCTCTGCATGCCTGTATGTATGGTGTGAAATACAAACATTTGAAAAAATTACACTTCCACACTATCGCAAATACCTACTAAAACACAATGATGACAAAATGAGACTATCTGCAGCGTGACTTTGGTGCTTCTTTAAAGGTAAGCAACCAACGGGTAGTACGTTTTACGAAACCCACCTTGACTGCTCAGGTGAAGTTGTGTTCATGTGGCCTCGTCCACTACACACAGGTCAGCATATGTGCATGGCGGGGAAGATGAGCAAACAAGAAGGTAAAGAACGGTGCAGAGAGTTGACAACGAGTTCCTGAAACCGTGGCCACTGCCCGGGTGACGAATCATGGAGGAAGGCGAAGGCGAGTAAACAAGAAGGTCGAAAGGCAAAACGGAGATGTCACAACAGTTTTACCATCACGACGAAACGAAACATTTTCCACGAAACGTCGAAGCGAAACTACGTGACATGCGTGTATGCTGGAAGGCGCTGGTGCTATTGCGGCATATGTTATTGGTTGTGCGGACATGAATGAACCTACCTTGGCGGGCCTGGTGGACCGTTCCTGGGTCTTCCACTGCACAGATGCAGCGCAGGGAGAGGAAGGGGGGAAGGAAAGTGGAGGAAGACCTAGGAAATCAAATCAGAATCAGAAAGCGCCAAATGAAAGGGGTCTGGCTTAAACTTGTTGAAGCCAACGTTCGAGAGAGTAACAGCCGGAACGCAAAGGAAAGGGAAAGGGGAAGAGCGAAAGAGCGTGTGCGGGAGAGCGAAAGAGCGTGTGCGGGAGAGAGGGGTGGGCTCGGCGAGGGGAGTTGCGGGAAGAACAACATTCTAAGGGTACGGGGAGTTTGCTCACTGGTAATTAATCTGTCCAAACATGTTTCCAAGCCGAATAGCGCTCAGGCTGTACTATCGATGCTGAAGCGACGGAAATTGGAAACCCTCTTGAGTCGAAATGATGCTTTCCCGCCTGACTCGGAGCGAAGACATTCTAGAAACCGATCGGAATTCGAGCACCAAGCACAGGTGAAGCAGAGAGGCATGGTGGTCTAGAGGGAGAATCGCAAGTGGGATACGGCCAAAGAACTGATTCCTGAGTTTCGCAAGACACGAAAATTCGGGCATACGCTGCTGAGAAACCGCAGCTGGCGCAAGGCAAGAACGAACCTCGAACCTATCGACGCGCAAGCACATGACGATCAACGACGCATGGGTAGCAGTAAGCGACCCATCGGTGCTCTCGTAAAATCGCTTCGGAACAGGCGCGATCCATGGGCTGTTTCTTTTATCTCACGCCATGCATGAGTTTCTACACTTATCCTGCGCCATTTTCTCACCCAGCATCTTCTCGAGACGCGCTACACTTGCTCAAACGACGAGCTACAGGGACATATACGACAAGGCCCAGCAGCGCATTCGACAAGTTTACAAGACAGAACACTACAAGCTACAGTGGAATGAGAAAATGGCTTGGGATGGGTGTACAAGGTTCTGGTGGAAGCTTGTGGAAAGATTATGCACTCCATACACAATTCCCCGGTTGTAGCATGCTTAGGAGCCTGTTCCAAAGCACTGCACCCAGACAAAAAAAACTCCTAAGCTAGGTACTTGAGGTTCACATACAAATGGTATGATAAAAAGCAGCCTATGATGCTGAATTGGGAAAAAGGCACGTCTTCGTGTACCTGATTTCGATCGATATATTTATTTGTTGTGTCATGAGCAGGGCCTCATATTGCAGGCTTTTTACCCTGATTCAGGGTAAAATCAGGGCTATTTGGGGGGGTGACCCTAATGAGACAGGGTTTTTTTAAGACAACTGCCTGAAATTTCAGCGTTTTTCTAGGAGTGAACTCTGATTGATAAGTGTGACAAGTGTAGTGAGGCCTGTTTTTCGGGGCCCGATCCTGATTCTTGTAATAGCATATTCCTAGCCCCAACCCCCCCACCCGTGATTTTCGTGATTTCCCCCCCAAACCTCCATGTCAATCACGCCGACTTAACAGTGACCGACCAGAATCCCGCCCCCTTGGAGAGGATTCTGCCATTCTTCATAGGCAGATTCTCATAGGCTATTCGAAAGTAGCCAGGCGATCAGCGTGCCCCAAAACGAATCTGAGGCCCTGGTCATGAGGCTGTCTCATGTGGATAATCATGCACATGGGGACTCTGGGTTGGAAGGTTTGAAAGTTGTAGCAGCCATAATTCATGAGCAGCCACGCTGACTCGGATGGAATGGAGGTTCCTATTCAGGACTCATGCGGAGTGGAGCTGAACATTTGTCATTACTTTCCACTTACTGAGTCAGCAGCATTGCAAGTGGCAAGCAGCATTTGCTATACATCTTATAGACTAGCATTTGCTGTTCAATTATATTTTATATAATTGTAGGCTTGGTACTTATGCTACTAACTGCATCCTTATGTAGAGGGGATAATCCCCATCTTGTACTTCATTCTCTTCTAGTCGATCTCTCTTCTCTCTCGTCAATCTTCCCTAGCTAAACCCCAACCGTCATTCCATGGTGGCCTTCTCTTTTCTTGCTAGCTCACTTCAAGACATGGTAACAGAGCAGGCCGACCGTCCCTGGCCTGCTCACTACGCTTCTGCTGCGTACCCGTTGCTACTTCGCCGCTGTTGCGACTTTCCGTCTGCCTGCCACCGTGACATATTTTCCGTGATATCGCGGAGGCCCTTTAGTCCTGCCGTCTCAGTTTCGACGAGCAATCGCGCACCGACGCCACGCTGTGGTGGCGTCGTAATGATGCCGCGGCGGCGTCGTCGGGCTTTAGCCGCCGCGTCCCACCTGCGTCGTTGCTGTACGTGCAGCCCGTCCGCTCGCCAATAAGCGTCGCGCCAGCAATGACGCCGCGCTGAAGTCCTGCAGCCCCACCATAGCAGCCCCACCACCTCTCCCTCGCCTGCGTCTTCTCCTGCTCCTGCTACAGCTGCTGTCTTCTGCTTGGTCATCACCGGGTCGTGCCACACCGCCGAGAGCCCTCAGCCGCCACAGTCGCCGCCTGCCTTCCTCGACGCAGCCGCCTTGAGCACGTGCTCCGCCGCTGTCGTCATTGAAGTCGCCCAGACGCCGGCAGCTGGCTCTCGTCCGGGGGTGTCATCGCTTAGCACGAGGGTTAGATACCCGGCTGCTCACGAGCATGAGGGTGTACGGGATTAGGGGGTGTTTGGGTGTTGGGTGGGTTTGTGACTACCAAGCCTAGGGGGTGTGTTCAATTATAATTTATATAATTGTAGGCTTGGTAGTTATGCTACTAACTGCATCCTACTGTAGACGAGATAACCCCCTTCTTGTACTTCATTCTCTTCTAGTCGATCTCTCTTCTCTCTCGTCAATCTTCCCTAGCTAAACCTCGGCCGCCATTCCATGGCGGCCTTCTCCTTTCTTGCTAGCTCACTTGAAGACATTTGCATTGTGAAAGTTTGCTTATGTCCTCTTGTAAAGGCAGCGTGCTTCATTTCATCTGGGAAACATACATGGTTCTCGTCCAACAAAGAACTACACACAAGAGGGTGGGTGGGCGGGGAAATTGAACTAGAGAAACTAGAAATGAAAAACGTGGGCGAGGCCGAATGGCCTCACGTCCCTCTTTTGTAGGCAAAAGAGGGTGAGTAGCGCTTCGTCGCTGCCTTTGCTGCGTTGGCCCTCGCTACACTCTCACAATACACATTTTTAGAAAGTGTTACACACTTTCAAAAAATTACATTTGGCCACACAGCAGCAACGATCTCGACTGCCAACTCCCTATCGTGCGTGTTGTCACTTTCAATCATTTCCTGGAAGCATGCAGCAACAAGGGTCAACCACCACAATCCGTGTTTTAAGATCACTCGATAGAAAATGAAAAGGATGAAGAGGTAATACGCGACAAAACAGTACCTTGATGAGCTGCTGGCTTGTCTCGTTATCCATGTAATGGATAATGTGGTTGATTACAGCCAATTTTGTCCGCGTTGCTCCAGCAGTATCAACAGTTTTCAACGTATAGAGAGCTAAGTCGTCTTCAACATCCATTGTAGATAGTTGTTGGTCCATAATTTCGAATAGCCTGGCAACGTCATACTGATATGCAGCTTCAAGCAAGGCAAGCCCATGTTGCTGTTGATGGAAGGAGATATATGTGAATGACGACAAGTGAAAACATAGCAGTACATCGCATAACTGAAGATGAGGTGTTCACAGTTACGTACTGAAAACACGGCAGTCAGACATTCTTGCAAACAGAGTGTCAATGATCCAACAAATTTGCACGTACCTTGAGAGCATCAGCAGAAAGTGTGATGTCAAAACCATACATGTATGCCAGGAACAGTCTCATTGTGGAGCCATCCATGTCGCTTAGCTTGACAATTTCTTCTTCATCATTCTCTTCTACGAATGAATCCAGCGCTGGAGACCTGGAAACAAGGAGAAACCAATAGCTAAGTCAGGGATCTAACACACTGAAGCATGATACGGTACCATAATCGAACAGTTACCATGATGCAACAATAATGCGGTGAGCGGAAATGCTGGCCCCATCTTCAGCTTCAAATATCACATCCGTAAACTTTTCTCGCTCAAACTGACCCTTGAGCTTTACAGCAAGACGCTCAGCATGCCTGCAATGTTAATTTTAAACACCAGAACCAGTCGATGTTTTATCATGCGAACGCATCAGCACAGCCTCATATTTTTACAGTTAGGAAGCAGCGATCAGTGCAAGGCTGTGGTCATGGAGGAATGGAATTGACTCACCTTGACGAGCCAGGTGAATGCCCAATTTTGAAGACTCTGCGACTGCAAACGTCCACCGCAAGATAGGGAGGGGAAATTCGTCAAACCGACACGGATAAGAAGTTCTAGAGACAGCCGGAAAAAAACACCTCCAAACCTGAGTACAATACTCAGAGAAAGGGAGTCAGAGAAAGTAGTAGTAGGGATTGGTTGCTCACATTAAGGTTTCATTAGCTGACATGTTTCGAACCCTAATCAACTTCAGGCCGGAATGGAAATTGCTGAATGGAAGAAGTGGGAGTCCCCTAACACAAGACTGTGATTCCATGCCACGAAATTTGATTTCTGCAGGACGATCCTGACTCACAATCGAAGCGGAATGAACGATAACTTCGACCGATACTGTGACGGCGAAAAACGCTGGCACGGGCGAGAGACGAGAGTCTCGAGTGAGTTCTAGCTGGCAGTGTCTGCTAGCTGGTAGATGACAGACGGGAGAGGATGGTGAACGCAACAACTCGTTCGAAACAACCTCGAGATCCGTGCTAGGCGCCATGAATCTCGAAATCCAGCCCACCAGCTTGCTGTCTGAGCATGAGCAACAACGCATCGGCGGTTGGTGACGCCTAGCACGGGTAGGCAACGACAACAGCGCACGCTTCGATTCTGTACTCCTATCCCATGCCTCACTACGCTAGCCCTGCTGAATCCATTCCTACGCTTGTTAGCTGTGATGTGATTCTTGGACCTTGTCACTCGTCGGGAAACATTCGAACTCGATATACCAAACTCGCCTACAGGCTAAGTTCGGGGAGTTCGCAGCATTGCTTCAAAACAGGGTTCTATGGAGCAGCTTTGTTTCACCTTCAGTGTCCTGATGTGGTGATTAGTTAACGTGCTATCTACATCTTTTCCAAAGCCCTGCATAGGTTTTTACATTATCGTGCTGAAATCGGCTCCCACTAGAAATTCCGTCATCCCTTCGGCCTGTTGAACCCCAAGCGCGACTTGCCTCTCCCACTCACAGCAGCAATTACAACTGGGCTAAGTGCACCAGCAAACCATTCCGAGAACTATTCAGTCCGTCAAAGCAGCGTCACATTCTGTCTTCTTGCGAGGATAATCGCCAGGGTTTCTGTTAGCCATGGCCTCTCAACCCCACGCTAGATACACGCGGGTTCCTACTTCCGACTCCGACGCAGCTCCTGACTTCGCCTCGCACCCTCAAACCGCATCTTCCGCCTTTTCTCCGTCCACCACGGGGAGAGCGCGAGCCTCGAGCGACGGCGACATTCGTTTCACGGGTCCCGACATCCAAAGACGCGTGCCGAAGCGGTCGGTGCTGCTCGCGCTGTTTCTGCTCTTCCTCGGATCCGCGTCGCTCGTCGTCTTCTACCTCATGCAATCCGGTCAAGTCGAGGCCGGCGGGCAGCAAAAGTGGACGTGCCTAGCGATCGCCTTCCTCACATTGATGCCTGGTGAGTTTCCCTCTATGGCGACTGTGTGAGAGTCTCTCTCTCTCTGTTCCTCGGATCGGCGGCGCTCGTCGTCTTCTACCTCATGCAGACGAAGCAAGTCGAGGCTGGCGGTGGACTTGTTTAGCGATCGCCTTCCTCACACTCATGCCCAGTGAGTCTGGTTCATAGCGGTCGTGAGTTGCTCCTCGGTGCTTGTCTGCTGAGCCCCCTCTGGGACAGACTCCATCTCGCGTCACCGCTGGAATTCGGAAGTGGACGTGCCTATCGATCGCCTTTCTCACTCTCACGCCCGGTGAGTTCGCTCTTTGGCTAGTGTGCGAGTCGCTCTCTGTTCCTCGGATCGGCGGGCAGTGGAGGTGGACATGCCAGGCGATCGCCCTTTCTCACATATGCCTGGTGAGTTTTCTTTTGGCGATGGTGTCTACTAGCGTCGTCTGCGGACGTTCACCGCGTCGCTGGTCGTCTTTTGCTTCGTGCAAATTGGTCAAGCAAGGCTGGCTGGCGGGCGAGCGATCACCTTCCTCACACTCATGCCCGGTCAGTTCGCTCCTCTGTGCGTGTCTGCTGCTGACCCCTCGCTGGAACAGACTCCGTTTAGACGTCGTAGAGGGGACTCAGAATTGGACGAGGCTAGCAATCGCGTTTATGGTGCCTAGTGAGCTCCGTTAGTGGCGGTTGCGAGCGACCAGCGAGTCTCTTTCCAAACCCTGTGAGTTGCGGGCGCATTCATTGATCGCCTTCCTCAGACTCCTGCCTGGTGAGTCTGCTCTTGGTGCTTGCTTGTCTGCTGAGCCCTCACTGGAAAAGACTCCGTCTTGGCGTCGTGTCGTATTTGGAACTCAGAAGTGGACGAGACTAGCAATCCCGTTCCTCACGCGCGTGCCCGGTGGTGAGCTCGCTTACACGCGACTGTGGCTGGCGAGTCGCCTTGTACAACGGACTCTAGGCGGTGCGCATGTCTCTGTTAATCGCGCTCCTGACTCCCATGCCCGGTGGTGAGCTCGCTCATACGCGACTGTGGCTTGTTAGTCGCTTTGTATGGCAGACTTCAGCCATGTGGACGTCTCTGTAGATCGCGTTTCTCACACCGATGCGATTGGGTCTCGGGAGTCTCTCCCTGTCCCTGACTGAGACACCCGCTTTTTAGTGGAGAATGTGTCTCCCTCCTCACGCACGCACTTGCCCGGTAAGTTTGGTTACAGGCGACTGTGTCTGGTGAGTCCCTTTCCGTGGCAGGCTCTAGGCGTGGCCTCTATTAAAAGCCGCTCCTGACACTGATGCGAGAATCTAGGTGTGGAGTCTCTTGGGGGTCTCTTGGGGTTCTCTTGGGGTTCTCTCCTTGAGGCTACCACCTTGTGAGTTCGCATACAGGGGATGGTGCTCAATGAGTTCTTTTGGGAGTCTCTTGGTAGTCTCGTGGCAGTCATGCCCACCCCAGTACTGGTCTGCCCTGGGACGGCTTTTTAGGGAACGCCATTGGCTGCACAGTGCGGGTTCTGGCTTCCGCGTATCTCCCTCCGGCTCGATCCCTTCCCCATTCTCACCCTCATCTTTCCACCCGCCATCTCGCCTTCCACCAATTTTCGCCTAACGTTCTACAGCTTCCATCTAAGCCTACTCTGGGACTTCGTTTGAGTGAGCGTCATTGGTTGCAAGAAATGGGTGCTGGCTTGCTCATACCATACTCCACCTCGAACCCTTCCCCTATTCTCACCCCCATCTTTCGGCCATCCCGCCTTCCTCTGATTTCCGCGATCCTACATTGTAAGCCTTCCACACAAAGATGCAGCGTCGGATGGCAACTGACACTGCAAAGGTCGTGTTGTTCATCTGTTCGCCTTTCAGCCTTCCGGTCTGATGCGGCCACTTTTGGTTGGACAGCCTCTCGTGTAAAAGGTCTGTTCATGTTGGTCCTTGGCGTTGTAATGAGTTGATTTTTTAGTCGACTGAAAAATGGTTGGACAGCCTCTCGTGTAACAATTCAAGTGGTCTGTTCATGTTGGTCCTTGGCGTTCCACTCTGGTGTGATAGGCGTTGGTGTCCTTACAGGCCGTTTTGCGGTGGCACCCTCTTCCCTTTGCCAACACCCAACACCCAACTTGGCCCACCGTGTCTATGAGCATTTCCTTCTATGTGCATGTCCGAGCCTTGTCAAACTCGTCCGAGCCTTGTCAAACTCGTCTGAGCCTCAGCGACCCTTCTGGTGACTGCTTAAGCCAAGCTCGTCAGCCCAGCTTGCACAATAGTGTGTGCACTTGGTATCCTGGAAAGCTGGTAAGTCTGGAGCTTCATGGACAAGCTGTTGGTTGGCTTGCTCGATCCTCTCACACTTTTAGAGAGTCTCGTTCGCTGCCAGAGCTTATAAAGTTGCTATGGTAACCAGATCTGTAGTCTTGCAAGCCATGATTGCGTGAACAGCACTTGAACCGGCGCTTGAACCGGCGCTTGAACCGGCGCTTGGACCGGCGCTTGAACCGGCACTTGGACCGGCACTTGGACCGGCGCTTGAACCGGCGCTTGTTTGATAGCTGGTCCAAGTTGGTATCGCTGACCTTTCTCCAGTTTTACTACCAGAATTTTCACTCCACGCTTTACAGGATGTCTCACTCTCTCTTTCATGCTACCCCTTGCTCAACTTTCTCAGTTGTATTATTGCTGACACATTGTCTCTGTTGCTGCTGTTTTTTTGTTGCAACATGCCTCAAATGTCTTTCACTCTAAGTTAACCACATCCCGCTTGACGTTTCTATGAGGCAACTCCCCCCTGTGTTGTGCTTTGCATATGCATGCATCAACCCACACGTGCCACCCTCCTGTATTGGAATGACCTCTCCTGTTCTCATCTGCCAAGTTTCTTTGTAGCTGTCATTAATCGCCCACCCTTCTGTCCCATGTCTGCTGTCCTCATTCACGGACTCCTCTTTTCCGACAATGTGGCTTGCGTCCTCTCTTTCTCATTTCCGTACGCCCTCTTGTCTCCACCGCCATGCTCTTTTGCAGGCTTTTATGAAAGCCGCATTGCTTACTACTCCTGGAGACAAGCCCCAGGGTACTCGTTTTCACAAATACCTCGGTACTAGCCGAGTTAGGATTACTAGCCTGCAGTCGGTGCTTGAGTAGAGGACCAGTATGGTTTGTCTGATTTTGTAAGTTTGTGGACGTTTTGTAGATATTTTTCAGTCAAAACCAATCAGGACATACAACGTAAGGGGTGTATGTTCATTCCAAAGTGCTGCTTTGCAGCCTACGTTAAAGTATGGTTTGCACGAATTCCCGTTTTGTAGTGTTCTTGGATGATTATTTATAGGGTTCCCCTATTGTGTGTGCGTCTTTTAGCGGATCACTTCACTTCTGCCGACCACCTTACGAGACTAGTGGTTAGGAGCTGTTTGGGCTCTGGTGGGCAAGGCAGTATGGATGCACTGCGAGCTTGTAGTTGGGTCCTAGTCACCGCGCTTCGGAGCTTCAGGGTACAGCGTTAGCAAGGTTCAGCACGGATAGCGTCATTCCTGCTTTGTCCCCAACCATAGCCCCTCTAACATCCCGTTGCTGATGGATCTATTTCCACCTTTCGCACCTTCGGCCTAGAACCAACGTTTACCAACGTGTACGCCGAGAGAAGTGCGTGAGTGTGAGGAGTGTTTGAAAGAGGGGGATTTTACGTATTTTTTCCCTCGAACTTCAAATTGATGGGTGGCCTACGTGCGGTTAGTCGAGGTAAACCTTGTCAACATCCGACGACGGCGACCTTTGAACACGCTCTCATTTGACCCTCCAGTCCGTTCATGGAGATACCAGCACGTACCCACTGCTGATCAAATGCATCCCCCACACACCATCACAAAGAAGTAGCTTTTCTTGGGCTCTCAAGTCCTACCTTTTCCTCTTCCCCGCCTAATCTATGTTCTCATGGCTTCAATGAAAGTCGATATCCTCTTTAGCAAGGTAAGCAGTGAAGCTCTGCTTCGTAGGGACTCTAGTACTACTCAACTTTCGCCGCTTCATCAACAATTGACCATCATTGACCTCTACGTTTCCAGGAAAAGGGGCAAATCCTGTACCTCGAGGCGGGGAAGGACTTCATTGATCTCCTCATGGCTCTCCTTCGGATGCCAACGGCCAACATGATCAGACTCCTCACGGAGGGTGGGATCACAGCCAAGAGAAGCGTTGGGATCTTCAATGTCTTCTCCAGTGCGGATAAGCTCGACAGGTCTTACATGAAGGTGGACAAGAGCTTCGTTGTGAACCCGTCGCCACCGGAAGGGACTCAGGTGCACCTGCTTGGTTGGCAGGAGGTCAGACAGCAACCTGCAAGTGGCGGTTACTTCACGTGCTCCACTTCAAATCATTTGTATGTCGCGCTTGGACCAGGTGCTAAGTGTGGGTCATGTGGGAGAATCATGACCCAGAACATCGAACCTAGGCATGGGTACACTTTGAACGAATCAGCGACCTTGTATACATGCTATTGTCGCAGCTACTTGGCAAACTCGGAAACGTCATGCGATTGCTGTGGTAACTACATGGACCAGCAACTTACCCTGGTGCCGGTAGTTGCAGAGCAGCTTTCTGGAGGCTTCGTGAAGGAGACGCTGACCTTCATGGTTACAGACAACCTGGAGTTCTTCCCCAGCTCCACCATCAAGAGCATCAGTCTGCTTAATACCCTGGGAGTGAAGTCCATGGCTGACCTGGAGAGCTATGAGACAACTGTGACCAAGGACCATGTAAGTCAGGGTCTGATCTGTTGTGTGGCACCGTAGTTGTGGTGATGTTTGCTTCAAATTCTGACATTTTCTCTTTTCTGCAGGCTCTCGCACTTGTCCAAGCTGCACTGACATCTACGTCTGCTCTGAATGATGTTTTTGGGAGCCTTGTTGCCACTAGGAAGAAGTGATCATGACTAGTCAACGTGGACTTACCACACCAGATTCGTTGGAGAATTCAAAGGTGTTGGGCTGAGAAAAGCCCTTAGGATCTTTTGCAGAGACTAAGTCCCAGCTGTAAAGACTTGAGACTTGGAGTAGTGCAGCGGAAGTTGAGGCAGTTGAACCCTTGTACTAGTATGTGAGAACAAGTGATTAATTAAGGAAACAAGCATACAGCAATATATAGAAGATAAGAAAGCAGTTGTAGAGTACAGTTACAGGAACGGTTTATCGAGTCGCACAGCGACTCGATTGCTGCTTCGGTTACCATCCATGATGCTGTAACGGTCAGTCGCAACCTCCAGTTGCGACCTTTCGCATTCTTTGTCCGCCCCCTCGTGTAACCTCCGTTGACTCGCGTGCTCCCTTGTAGTCTTCCTCGAGTGTAGTGTTATACTTCAGAAACGCTTAAGTTCTTTGAGATATTTCCAACACTCCCCTTCGTTTCTGGAGTGCTGTTATGTTCGGATCTGGTGACGTTTGTCTGTCCGGTCAGCAGCATGCAGTGGTCGAATTTTGTCTTCGCCAATTTCTTCGTCAAATAGTCTGCGGCCATTTCTGTCGTCGGGCAGTAACTGAGTTGAAGTCTCCCCTTCGCGATTTCATCCTTGACGAAGAAGTACCGTAGGGCGATGTGCTTGGTTCGGTTGGCGAAGCCATCCTTGTTCGCGATTTTGATCGCGGATTGGTTGTCGCAGAGGAGTGAGAAGGCGGGTAGGGTCGCGATCTTCGCTTCCTCGAGTAACTCCCGTAGGTAGAGTCCTTCCTTGGTCGCAGTACAAAGGGCGATATACCCTGCTTCAGCCGAGGATAGTGCGATTAGTTCCTGCTTGCTCGACTGCCAGGAGATAGTCCCGATAGGTTCTAGTCGGTAGATGTAGCCCGTCCTGGATCGTCGATTTTCCTTATCCCCCGCGTGGTCGGCGTCGACGTATCCGAGTAGTCGTACGGACGGTGTGGTTACCTTGTTGTAGGTAAGTCCGGTCGTTGGCGTGGAGACGAAGTAGAGTAGTGCCCGGTTGAGCTCCTCGAGATCTTCTTGTTCCGGCTGCTTCAGATGCGTCGCCAGTTGGCTCGCGCTGTAGGAGAGATCGGGTCGGCAGGTTACTGCTGCGAATAGTAGGCAGCCGAGTTTCTGTTGATACTCCTGGATTTGCTTCGCGGGGAGTTTTGCGGAGGTGCTGTTGTTGTTCCCGTAGCGGTAGGGAGTTGGGATCGTAGTCGGTGTTAGACCGAATTTCTTCGCGACGGTGCCTGCGTATTTTCCAGCGTGTAGGTAGAACGCTGAGTTGTCTTCGACGACATTCAGTCCCAGGTACTGGGTCACTGCGTCGGATACCGTGATCGTCAAATCTTCTTTCAGCTCCCCTTCGAACCAGGTGGCGATGTCGGTAGTGGAGCCGATGTAGAGCAGGTCGTCGACGTAAACGATGAGTAGGATATACTCTTTTCCCTTTTGCAGTCGGTACATGCCTTGGTCATGCGGCAGCTGTAGGAATCCGATTTTTGCGAGGCGACCGTGAAGATGCTGCTGCCAGAGCCGCGGGGCTTGCTTGATCCCGTATAGGGATTTTATCAGCTGGCATACTTTCGTGGGGTCGTCGATGAATCCGTGGGGTTGTTCGACGAAGATCTCAGCGTCCACAGGTGCGTACAGGAAAGCATTTGCGACGTCGATTTGGCGCAGTGGTAGTTTCTTCGTGGCCGCGACGGCGAGTAGGATGCGCAATGAGGTGTGACGGGAGACTGGGGCGAATGTTTCTGTGTAGTCGGTTCCGTATCGTTGATCGAACCCTCGTACGACCCATCGAGCTTTGAATCATTCGGTGGAACCGTCGGCATTGGTCTTGATGCGGTACACCCATTTTCCCGAGAGGACATTTTTCCCGTTGATGCTTGTTGCAGGTATCAGTTTCCATGTATTTCGGTCTTGCAGAGCCTTTAACTCCTTTTCCATCGCCTCCTTCCATTTCGCCTTATGTTCCCCCCCCAGAGCCTGCGATAGAGTCGGAGGCTCGCGCGGAGATGGCGGCGGCGGATGCTGGACGGAGACCCATAGGCCGAGTATCTGCAGTCCCGTGGGTGTGTGTCGAGGGGAATTTTCATTCCCGGAATAGGCTGCTTCGTCACCGTCTTCTGGATCAGGTAAGAAGTTGGGGCCGATGCGTTCTGAAACATTTGTGGCTACCGGCTGGGGTGTAATGTAACCTTGGTCAGCGAAGTGGTAAAAGGTGTCGAGGTTGTTACTATCGAGGGGATTGTCTTCGTCGAGTGGAACAGGTACGGAACAGAAAGGGAGTGGTCCGGCAGCTTCCGAGGCTCCAGGTACGTCTTCTTCTGCTGCGTCAGCCTCGGCAGCACGGTCGGCGAAGGAACGAAGGCCCGCGAAGCCGTCGGTGGGGTCGTGTTTGTTGGCAATGTTGTCCAGGTAATGCTGCAGCGTCAATCGTTCGTAGAAGATAACGTCACGTGATGCCACTGTATTTTTGTCTTGTATGTCGAGGATTTTCCATGCGTGAAAATGTTTTGCGATGCCGAGGTGTAGTCCCCACCGAGCTCGTTGTGTGAAGCGTCCTGCTCGGGCTGTGTGGGGTCTGTACTGTACCATGCAGCTAAAAACTCTGAGTAATTTTGTGCTGCCCCTTTTTCTTGTCCACAACAGGTGCGGTGATGCGTTGTTGGGAAGTGATGACGAGGACAGCAGGTTGTGCAGGTGAACAGCATGTGTCATCGCGTCGGGCCACAGTGTGGTTGGCAGTCTCATCCCCTGAAGCAGTTTTCGCATTGTCGTCTGCAAGGTCCGATTCATGCGTTCTGCGACCCCCTGCTGTTGGTGAGCATAGGGCAGGGACACCAGGCGTCTAATTCCTCTTTCCGCCAGATAGGTCCTGAAGCGTTGTGACTGGTATTCCAGTGCACCGTCTGACTGGAAGCTCTTGAGTTTGAGTCCTGATTCTCGTTCGGCGATGGGAAGCCATGTTGTGAAAGCTTCGAAGGCTTGATCGCGCGTCTTGAGATTGAAGTGCCAGACATATCTGGTTGCGGCGTCGATGAACGTGATGACGTAGTTGAAGTCGGCTTCGGTGTCGTCTCGAGGCATGTTTAAAATATCGCTGTAGACCTTTTCCATCGGAGCGTAAGTAGGTGCGCTTGGGTTGTGATGGGATGGGAAAGGTTGATGAGGAAGATCTGCTTCGGGGCATGTGAAGCACCGTGCGCGTGGTCGTCGAAGTTCTTGGCCGCTCGTCGTCAGAAGGGCGTTGCGTTCTAACACATCTGCTTGGATTGTTTGAAGTATCGTGCTGTTTGCAGGATGTCCGAGACGTTGGTGCCAGATGTCGTCGGGAGCGCGGTGACCGGGCGAGCGGTGGTAGATGTCGGCGTTGGAGAAGAACGCGACGACCGAGGCGGGACTTCGACAAGCTTCGCGTGTGGCGGGCATTAGTTGGTCTGCTTTGGTTGGCGGTCCTCGGGTCGCTGGTGGTGGGACTCGGCTGGGTCCTGCTGCCGATACTGCAGGTGATGGTTTGGTTGGGATACTTGCGGGTACTTGTCTTTCTTGTCTGATAACTGCTAATGCTCGTGTTCTCTCTGCTGCAGGTATGGTGTTGGAGTGCCAGAAGCCGTCACTGTCGAAGTCGGGATCAAGATCCGGCGGGTGAGTCCAGGCGGCGAACGATACGATACCGTCGCTGTCGGCAGTACCGCGGTCGGGGACGAAGTCCAACACGAAGACGCCAGACTTCAGGAGGGCACGACCGATGAAGAGGCCACCCTTCCCGTGGTAAAGCCGAAACTCTTTGGAGTTGGAGTCGCACTCCAGGTGAATCCCCTTGGCCATTAGTTGGCTTACGCTTAGTAGGTTGTATCCCAGATTGTCGACAATGAGCACTTTGTTGAGCTGAAGTATGACGTTTGTCTCCATGGATTGTAACTGAACCACGCCTTGTCTGTTTGTCTTCAGGTTTTCGTTGTTGGCGACGGTGATGACGACGTCCCGGTTGAGGCGTTTCTTCTGTTGCACGAAGCGTCCCGAGGAGCACATGTGTTGACCGCAGCAGCTGTCCAAGAACCAGGTATTTCGCCTGGTGGGTTCGGCGTTGGCGACCGCAGCATATGTTGGATTGACTTGAAGGCCTTGTGAGCGCGGTGGCGGCAGCTCTTCTTCGTCTGGCGCGTAGGTGGGTGGTGATCCGGGTGCGCAGTTGTCGATGTGTACCATGCAATTGATAATGTTTGGTGTTTGTTGTGCAGATGTTGAAGAGCGCCTTGGGGAGCTTGCTTGAGTGGAAGCGACTTGTGGGTCTGCTGGACGGTAAACGCGAGGGCGGTTGCAGTTGAATTTGGAGTGCCCGGAAGTCTGGCAGTTGTGGCAGAACGGCGGTACGATGGTGAGTCCTCGGGTGTCGCGTTGATCTTGCTTGTTGCGTCGGTTGTAGTTGTTGTCATTTCTTCTTTGAGTGTAGAAGACTAACTGCTGTTGCTTCCTTGGTTGTCTTTCCTCGAACAGGTCCATTTCTGTTGTTCAGCGTGAAGCTCGGCGCAGAGGTGCATCTCCGAAATTCTTCCGTGGGCTCGAAGAAGTGATCGTGTGGTTCTCCATTCTGGCCCGAGCCCGGCGAGGACAAGTGTTACGAAGCTTTCTTCAGTGATCGTTCCTCCGCACCAAAGCAGGCGGTCGCGGAGGGTCTGGCAGCGACTCATATACTGCATCGCCTTTTCCCCGGTCTTCATCTGTATTGTTGTCAGCTGTTGCATGAGTCTGCTTTGTGTCACGCTGTCGTTTGCTTGATAGAGGCACTTGAGATGATGCCATGCGAGTTCCGCGGAGTTTCCATAACTCCGATACGTTCTGATGCTCTGCTGCTCTTGTGGTGACAGGTTTCTCAGGAGAACCGTATACGCCAGCAGCGACTGATACGTGAAGATTTCTTGTTCCTTTCCAGTGCCGTTGCTTGGGAATGGCAGGGACCCGTTGAAATATCCCAGAAGATGCGCGGCCTCCATCAGCAGTTCGAACTCGAAGCTCCAGGTAAAGAAGTCGTGTCCGTTGAACGGTGAGGATGTCTGCAGTTTTATCACGTGCGAGAACTGAGCCTGGAGACTTAGGATTTCGTTTGGTGTTTGTTGTGATGCAGCTGCTGTTGGTTGGGCACGGGGCGGCATAAACTCGAA